GAGCACCATCAAATACTACCCCAAGATTTCTCACATGAGGCCTCAGGTAGGATCCCAAAAAGCTAGGAATGTCAGAACCAGTGACACCAGAGTTACCAATTACAACACATTCCGTCTTACTTTCATTAATATGTAAGAAGTTATGTGATAACCATGCCTTAATGTCCCTCAGGCAATCCCTCAAGGTCTGAAATGAGTTGCTCTTATTGACATTCAATGGCAAATAAATTTGAATATCATCCGCATAACAATGAAAAGACAACCCATATTTCATAAAAATCGATCCAAGGGGAAGTAAATACAAAGAAAAGAGAACTGGCCCTGGGTTCGAATCCAGGTTGCGTCAGGAAGGGCATCCGGTGTAAAACATGTGCCAAATGTCAACATGCGAGTCGTCAGTGTGACGATTCGCTGTGGTGACCCCTAAACGGGAAAAGCCGAAAGTGACTTTCTAGTCTATTAGTGTATCTGTTTTTTACTTTTCTCTGCCTTAACTTTTTTAAACCATGATATTCATGTAAAGTGAGTCAACAACCGTCACTGCTGCTGCCTCAGTGTTTCATGATGATAGTATGAACGGTAACCAGGTGGTGGAGCCACAGGACCCACCTGACTGTAGTTAGTGGAGGGAGACAGAGGTGAGGGAGATAACAGTCACTGAACCACAGTGGGCCGTGCTGCTCCACATTTGTAAAGATGACAAAGCCAGTCTTTGTTCCTCTGATCTCACAGCTTTTCTAAGCTGGTTTAGTTTTACTTGGTGTTGTTTTCACCACTGTTGATAAGTTATTTGGGTTAAAACATGCAAAATCACCGGTATTGTCCTTTAAAGTAAAGCATAGATCATCTGAATTGCAGATTACAATGCCTCAATATTTATCTTAATTTGTCATCTTAGAAAAATGGTTAAGTAAATTTGAATTAATATTTTTTTTTCTGCAACACTCTCCAGCTACAATCCATGCACATTTGAAACTCATGAAAAGTTAAAGAAGTTTTAAAGGCTTTACATTGGGGAAATATGTCGCTTTGTTGTAATGTCTAAAGGACAACACACTATATTTGTCAGATGTGTTATAGGCCTAGTGTAGCTGGAGTATAAGGGCTAGAGAGTGCTGTATGTCAAGGCAATTGGTTCTTTGTGGCAGATCAGATTTTACATGGACTGCGGAGTCCCTGCTGATCACAGGTTATATGACAAAGCACAACTCCTGCTATATTTGACAGTCTTTTCACTCTCCTCTGTGCAGCTGACCCCACAGTGAAGGACTTTATTGGTGGCTTTACAGCACTTCATTATGCTGCAATGCATGGCAGAGCAAGGATCGCCCGGCTGATGCTGGAATCAGAGTTTCGCAATGACATTATAAATGCAAAAAGCAATGATGGCTGGACACCATTGCACGTGGCTGCCCACTATGGTCGAGACTCATTTGTACGCCTCCTTCTTGAGTTCAGGGCCGAGGTGGATCCACTAAGTGACAAAGGGACCACACCACTACAGTTGGCCATCATCCGTGAGAGATCCAGCTGTGTACGGATTCTCCTGGACCATGGTGCCAACATTGACATTCAAAATGGCTTTCTGCTGCAGTATGCTGTCATCAAAGGCAATCACTCATACTGCCGCATGTTCCTGCAGAGAGGAGCAGACACTAATCTTGGACGTCTTGAAGATGGACAGACCCCACTGCACCTGTCAGCCCTCAGAGATGATGTGTTGTGCACCCAGATGCTCTATACATATGGTGCTAATACCAACACAAGGAACTATGAGGGCCAGACACCAGTAGCTGTATCTGTTAGCATGTCTGGGATCAGCCGACCCTGTCTGGACTTCTTGCAGGAGGTCACCAGTAAGTCTCACCAACTAGCTACAGTCATGGCCACATGGCCACCCCCACATTTCTGTCAGACCACTTCTCCCACAAAATTGTTGCAATCACAAGTTCTTTGGTATTCTCATGTTTATTTACTTATTTATTGTTTGCTTTGGAACAACACAAAAAGCAGACAAAAAAGCCAAATCTGATACATTCCACACAGAAGTCCAAAACTGGAGTCACACAAGCATGTCCTATAGAAAGTCAAGTCAAGTCCAGTTTATATAGCACAGTTAAATCAACAACAAGTTGGACAAAGTGCTTTTCAAAAAGACATCATCATAAACCATAAGAAGCACCTCCTGGCTAGAAAAGAAGAAAGACAAGCAGTTTGATCCAGATTAAGAAATAAAACTTAACATTGATTAACAGCAAGAGAATAAAAATAAGATTTAAGTTGACATTTAAAAACGGAGAGAGATGATGCTATTATGGAGAGAAACGTTAGAAAGCATATAAGTATCTGTTCCCTGTGTGAGGACAATTTTAAAAATGAACCAACTTGTTATATTAGGACATAATGCAATACTTTAATGATAATTTTAATTAATTTGTACTTGAATTTCATTATGATAACTAGGGATGTGCTGATGCAGTCTTTTTGACCCCTATACAGATCTGATCCTTTAATATTAAGTATTTGCCAGTACACTGGAGCTTCTTGATCCAAATACTGGATCAGGTCCTGGTTTCAAAATATTAAGTTTATGAGCTTAATTTATTGATAGGAATGAAAAAATAGATGGGAGGTTGACAGCACACTGAGACCTACAGATTCATTACAGGGCAGATACTAACTACTACTTCATATCTGTATGTCAATGTGCAGTTTGCGTATTTAGTCCAGTTTCGATATCCCTGTTTGACAATTTAGTAATGCTGCATTAACAAAAGGTGGCAGCTGTCAGAGCACCACTAGGCAAAAGCATAAACTTTCCATGGCTACACTGAAAGCAAGCACAAAAACACACAGAGGAGCCTACAGACACCCTTTGGAAAAGGGAAAACTATGGTCTAAAACTCCAACAAATAATAGAGAATAAAAGAATTACTGTCTACACTTGCATGTGTATATACAGTGTATTTAACCAGCAAAGAAAAACTACACACACTTTAAAAAGCCGTGCGTGTTCACTCGGATTGATGTAACATTTGATAGATCATGTGTTTTAGTTTTGATGGAGTTCTGGTTAGAATTAATCGGTTTTCATTGTTTAGATTGATTCTGTGGAGAGTTTTATGCATGTAACTCTGAAAAAATAGACTTGAATCTAAAAAAAATAGGTATCAGTTCATGGCTGCTTGCCTTAAGCAGGAGTGATATGCCAGCCCACACATGTTGCAAAAACACAACTGAATCCACTAAAATACAGGACTGTATTTCTACATATAGATCAGAATATAATCGGCTTTATTCTGGCCAATACGATCCTGTCAGAAAGGCTCGGATCAGCGCTGATACCGATATTTGACATCATTGGAAATGTCCTGATCCGATAACAGTTGTAATAATGATAATAAATAATGAGTAATAATTTAATAATACTTAATAATAATAAAACCATTCATACAATATGAATGTTTTTGAAATTATCAGGTAGCAGAAAAATAGATACAATTCAGTTGATAAATATAAAAAGCTACAGTTAAATAGAAATTCTGTCATACACAAGTTGTGTTGGTTGTTTTCAAATCAAATCAAAGCAAATTTTATTTGTATAGCGCCAAATCACAACAAAAGTCATCTCAGGACACTTTACAAAGTAAGGTCTAGACCTTACTGTTATCACTATTATTACAGAAGGAAAACCCAACAAATCCCCCTTGAGCAAGCACTTGGCGACAGTGGGGAGGAAAAACTCCCTTTAACGGAAGAAACCTCCGACAGACC